TGATTATGGAATCACATAATTGTCCTCATCCTCCCATTCCCATTTGGGATGGGAATCGGGGGATGAGAGTCTTGAAGCCCTTTACTTGTAGCCAGCAGACAGGGAAATGGGCTAGTTGAAGATAGGCTAGGACAAGCATGTCAGACTTGTAGCCACAAGCTGCAGGCTATAGGCCTTGTTTAAGCAAACCCACGAGACGTGAGTTTGACATGCTTGTACTAGTAGGTATTTATGGAAGTTGAGTTTCTCATTTCTACCCACATTTGATTGGCCAGAAGTCAGTCTCAGAGCTCATCTCCAAACAAGGGTCGTGGTGATGAAGCTGCCTAACAACCACTTTATTCCAATGATTTCCAACCAGTGTGCCATAAGAATATTTAACACATGCAATACCTGACTATTTCGTCAGGGACACTGAACTCTTTTTCCTTAGATTATCAAATAAAAACACAGCAATAGCCTTCTGGTGGGGAATGAATCAAAATTATACCTTTATAATTTTGTACCACAGAATTTTGGTAGTTAGTTTATGTGAACCATGAGATGAAAAAGGTTGAACATTGCTCTTCTGCAACAACAAAGAGGAGCATCTTTATTAGTGGACAGCGGTCCTCTTGACTACAGGCAGAGTGAGCATTTTAAGGTTTGCAAATCTCAGAGCTGAGTGAAATGTTTTAGGTGGGACTTCCAGATAGTCCATGAAGTCTGCATGTGGATTACAATCTTCACTTACCTGATATCTTCAGATTTAAGGTGATCCTCAGAAGCCATGAAGTCAGGACTGATTGAAACATAGTGTTGTTAAGAAAGGGAAATTATAATTCCATCAGCAATTGGAGATGTTATCTTCTTTGTTATGGAGTGACAGAGGGTAAGGCCCCATTCTGGATTTTGCTGCTTTATATTACAGCACAACTTGTGTAATTATAGTAAAGAGAACTCTGTTTCCATTTTTGTAAAACTGTTGCTACAAGTTTAGATTTGTTAGTGCATATTTTCCCTTAAAAGTGTTTTTGTGCTTGGCAGAAATTATAACAGCACATGCCTTTACCTTATGGGTTTTATTTTTGTTGTGGTGCTTTGTTGCTTCTTGGTTATTTCTATTTGTTTTATGCAAGCTTAACCTCTCTCTTAAAATTATCTTATGATTTTTATTTTGAAACTGGGATTGACTATGATATGAAATTATCCTGAATTTCATTTTCATCTTTCTTTGTTAAGATACTTTTGATGCCACATGGTGTTGTTACCATTGTAATTAGGTAATTATTAATAACTAGAGGCCCAGTGCATGAATTCACACATGGGTGGAATCCCGCTGCCCCGGCACCAATTGGTGGAATGGAGCCTGGACTGTCGGGAGGAGGAGTGGGGAGAGGTTGGCTGGCTGGCCCGCCCTGATTTGGTACAGAGCAGGGCTGGCTGACTGGGGGAAGGGACTGTGGGCAATTGGCCAGCACGCCCCACCCCCAATTGGTGTGTGTGTGGGCCAATCTGCAGTGGAGCTGGCTGGCAGGGCGGGGACGGCCTTGATCCAATTGGGGGTGGGGTCAGCTGTGGGAGGGGATGTAGGTGATGGACCAATCAGGGGTCAGGAGCTGGGGGAGGGGCCCTGGATCCTTGGCTGACCAGCCATGTCCCTGATAGAAGTGGGGGGGCTGATTGGGAGTGGAGCTGCAGGAAGTTAGCTGGCCTACCCTATTGGGTGGGGGCAATCAAGGGTGGGGCTGGTTGGGGAGAGAGGCTGTGGGCCGATTGGGATGGGGTAGACAAATGAGAATGGGGAGGCTGGGGGGAGGGGCTATGGGAGTTGGCTGACCAGCCCCACCCCTGATCAGGCCGGTTTGCTAGCTGCTATGGATGTCATAGTGACCAGTTGTTCTGGTCATTATGGTCGCTGGCTTTTTATATATATAGATAGGAGATGAGCAAAAGGGAGGCCAGACATTGTAAGCATGCCATCTGGGCAGATTCACCAGGAAGCTGCAATCTTCAGGGAACCACTGGTTTATTCCCCAAAAATCACTGAGGGAAAGGTGTCCAACAAAGGGGAGATGGGTGCATTCACTGTAAGGTTGGGGAGATGTAGGGAAGGTGCCTGTTAGTCTAACCTGGAACAGAGATCATTGGCTAAGGGGGTGGGGCCACTGCGAGCCCAAAGAAATTGGGGAATGCATAATCCCCCACATGAAGGAGTTTTCTCTCTTGGTATTCTTGTTCCTCTGGTTTTGCTCCTGCCTGTGTACCCTTCATGGCCATGTGGTCCTGCAAACTCCACATGCAATGGGCTGATGGACTGCACTGGGAGCCACAAGCTAAGCTAGCCTGATGCTGGATTGGACCATACCAATATGAAACAGCAACTCTGGAAACAGCTTTCATCCTAGCTCTGCTGAACGCAAAATGGGATCTTTTCCTTGGCAGGATGGAAGGGAAATGGGACCTTGGAAACTCAGGGATGTAATTTAATGCAAATAAATGTCACTCGTTCTCCCATGTGAATTCCAGAAAATTCCTTTTCTCATGACACTGCAAGAAGTCCACCTCTACTGTCAACTGGTATGGACATGGACAGCTCCCTACCCATAACAGTATCAGAATCAATGACCTGTGAAATATATTTCTTCTCCCACTAACTATGGAACAATTCTGACAAGTGACTTAACTTTCCATTTTTTTCATCAATGAGATTTTGTTGATCCAGTGATCTCTCCAGATATCTTGAAATTAATGGTTAGGCCTAAGTAGATTTTTATGGACCATTGATTCACCAGTGATGTGCTGGAAATTGGATTGTGCTAGTTTATGATAACTGAATAGTGGAAACTTGTTTTAACAACCTATATTACAATTTAAATATCCTAACTCACAATTAAAGACCTTGTATTAAGAACTCACATTTTCCTAATTTTTGTTATATTTTACTATTTTCTATGCATTTGAAGTTATTCTATCCATTGTGTCTATAGTCCATATGGTGGAAATACTACACAATGGGGTGTTATTGCACCTCTGTTCCCAATTCTGCACTCAGTGACACTACTTAAGTAGGTTGAAGTTGGCCTGGTGGGTGCTGTTTCTGAGAGGTTTACCAGCAGCCCACAGGACTCACCACACAGATCATATTCCTCATAGGTAGTGTTGAGGCTTGAAGGAGACAGGTAGGACCAGGGACACTGTAGATGCACAGTGAAGGAAGCAGCTTTTCAGGTCATTCCTTCCAGAAAATCTCTGCCATCACCATGGAGCCTACACATGGCCAGTGTTGCCAGATCATTGCAGTGCAGGGTCTTCAAAGGGACTCCATCCTCAAGTGGATTCAATAATACTTGACTCCCTCCCTTTTAGGGATATGTTAGAGGGGAAACATGGCCTAACTGATGTCCGACCATTTTGAATCATTGAGAAGTACAGATTCTATTCTAATTCTTAGATTAGAGGTTGAGAAACAGTTTTGCTGATTTGTGATAGTGATGGCTTTGGAAGAAAATATGTCCCCTTCCTTGCCCCCACGGGTATGGGCCAGAGTTGCAGCTGTGGCTCCACAGTGCTGGTCCCTGGGCACATGCACAATGGTGCATGACCAGGTTTTGTTGGGCTGCTGGCAAATAAGAACAAGGTAATAAGATATTATCTTAACCTGGGAAAGTCTATCTTTTATTGTGGGATTCTGTTCTTCTGACAATGGTTACGTCAATATATTCTATCTTTATGAAGTGACAATGATAATAGATGGTAGTAGTGCAGGTAGACTTAATTTTAATGTCCTTACTTTGAAAAAGCTGGAAATTATGTTGATCTTCTTTCTTCAGTGTCCAAATTTTTTACTTTTATTTTGTGTGTTGTTGTTGTTGTTTCTTTTCTTCCTTTTTTTTTTTTTAATGTTTGTGGACCAATGGAATGTAAAAAAAAAACTATTCCATGTTGACCATAAATGAGTTTTCTGGAAGCAAATAAGACTTTGGGAATTAGTCCATATGTGACTTACAAGTCAAATGATTCTTAATGGAATTACTGCATAGGTAACTGTGTCAGCAGCATAGACATGTGCGAGCACTTCTGTTTCCTCCTGCCATTGGCTACTCTCATAAAACTGTTGATAATTATTACTAAGAAAATCAAAGCATGAAGAAAAAAAAACCTTGTTCATTTCTTCTCCTCTGCCAAGACAGTCTTTTAGTCTTAATAGAACTGTTCTTTTGAGAAGAGGCATGGAAAAAGCGGGCCTTTGAGCTTAAAATTGCAATTATATTGTTAGCTTTTTATCTAAAGAAATAGCCATCATATCCCAGAAGTTCTTGTGTCTGCATCTGGCTTTAACCATTTGCCTTCCCACTAACACTGCTGATATTAACGCCAGTTTTAATTTCATGGCATCACAAGCGCATAAACACATCACACACACACACACACACACACACACACACACACACACACATGCAATTTTGAACAAGGACTGAAACTGTAAATTAGGAAGGAAGAGATTCACAGGATTTCATCAGACCAGTTCACTCTACACAGCGCCATAGCTGTCCTGGAAAGGTTTTCAATTGCTCATTTCAAACATACCTCGGTAGCTAAATGCCATGCGTGCAACAGATTTGCAACCACGTTAGTCATTTTCTTTCCTCCGTTTTTTTCTTGCTGTGTTTGTACTGGGAGCACAGAGCAATGCCATTTAGTAAATTATGATTTGATGGCTGGGCAACAGCCCCAGTGTTGAACAGTGTTTGGACTTTAATTACTTGCTGGCTTTGTCACAGTTGACATTAATTATTGATGGAAGTTTCAGAAATAGCGCATGTGCCAGGAGCCTTTCACCGGAACTCCGGCTCCAAGCAGGAGGGATGCTGAGGAGGGTGGGGGGAGAGGCACCTGTGGCTTGTTTATGTCTGTGCACAGCAAGCCTGCACGCGGTGGGCTGTGTGGCACCTGCGTAGAGGCCATGGTGTAACAGGAGGATGAACCGTCAGGCTTATTTCTATCGTGTTCCTCCCCAGGAATTGCACCGGAGAAGCCAACTTCAGCCGGAGCCAGCCAAGACGAAAGCTCTCCAGACTGTCATTGAGATGAAGGTAGGAGCTGTTCACATTTGTCAAAAAGCCGTGGCTCTGGAGTTTGTTCTAACTTGGTGGTGCCTAACAAACACGTGAACTGGATGTTTGTTTCTCTCTAGGCACCCCGGGAAGTGCTTTTATTCTGGGTCTTTTGCCTTCCTGGGTACATTTAATTTCTTGGCCCTTTAAGATTCCCTTTCTGAGCAAAAGAATAAAGGGCTCAAGTATCTCTTGGCGGAGAGGAGCTGAAAGGAGCTGGGTTCCTTTCCAGGGCATTGCTGATGCTTTTTCCCTTGAGGGAGGTTTTGTGTATGATTTAAAAGTAAATTTCTAACCCTGGGGGAAAAAAATATTTCTCCCTCACACTCACATTGCAATGAAAAGACACCTTGACAATTAAGATTTGGCTTTATATGCAGCAGAGTAATTAAATAATTTAAATGATGCTGTTAGCAAAATTTGCTTATCAAAGAATAATGTTCTCTCTCTCTCTCTCTCTCTCTCTCTCTCTCTCTCTCTCTCTCTCTCTCTCTCTCATCAAAGAAAATACTCCAGTATTTCCTCCTAGCCAAGCTTGTAGGTAATACTTTTTAAAATCCTCTCCAGGTATCCCCTTTAGCTGTGGAAGCATAGAAATATGCTATTTAAAAGGATCAAAGACACTCCGGGATGGATTGAGGGCATTTTAAGAATAATGATATAAGCGATGGTGGCCAAATCACGACTTACGATTAAGAAACAGATCTAAATGAAAACCAATTGTTTGGTCAGTATCTAGAAATTTGAAGTCTTGTTACTTCCAGTTATTGCCCAAAGAAAACAGAGTATTTATCTTAAGAATAAATGATCCTTGATTTAAATTGCTCCATGACCACACCGCAACAACAATGTCTGCAATTTAGCAATTTTACACTTGAGTTTAACACTCAAGGGTTTGCTGTCACCAACAGCCTGGAAGAGAATTGTGAAGTTTGCTGATAGTATAATGGTTTATCTGTCTTTCTTATAGCACATGATTTTGAATTGTCTGCCAAAAATTCACATATTGTGGGGGAAAATAAATTAATATGAACCATTGAGTTCTTGGCATGTACAAATCTGTTTTGGTTGCTTTTTTTCCTCTAGTCAATGACAGTGTCTTCATCCAAGTAGATTTTTGTGGAAATAATTTAGAACATTTGCTTTTAAACTATAGGTCTCCCGAAGATTACATGAGTCAAGGCACTCATAATGCATTTGCAGCCAATTGATTTGAAAAATATAATCAAAGGGACAACTGCCAGTAAGGTTAAAAATAATTGCTAATTTTGGCTTATCAATTCATTTTGAAGTTATGTAATTTTAACTTATTTTGAAATGAAACTTATTCTACAATTGAGGGAGACTGGTTCATAACTAAGATTTCATCCTTACATTAGAACCAAACTTGAAACATTGATAAGATTTAAAAAAATAAAAGGAAGAGAGAAAGAAAAAAAGAAAAAGATTAAAAAATTAATTTTAAAGATTTTATTTTATTGCAAAGAATCATTCAGTCCCCTTTCTACCCTCCTCCACACTTATATCCATACAATTAGTAATGAGAAGGAGGGTGCATCTAAAATCTATTTTCAAATATTGTATGTTTTGTTTTTTTTAATAAAAGAATAAATGTATCCCAAAACTATTTGGAGAAGTCAGGAATGACATCTCTCCCAGTGCTGTGGGCATTTTCCTAGTAAAGGTCACTATAAAAACAATTAGTACTTATTTGTGACTTTAATAAAATAGAAAGTCTGTTTGACTCTAGCTTACTGTTTTTAACATCATATGTTTTGTTAGAAAACAAAAAATAATAAATAAAAACACTTGTTTAGGCTATCTATGTGGGTAGGAATAAAAACATGATATTTTAGGGCAAATTTATAGCCATATATTGTCAGTAAATTGAGTCTGGAGTTTTCCTCTGATGATGCCAATGATCCGGAGTCATAGAAACATTTTAAGGACAAATGATGATCAATGTATTTGTCAGGGAATCGGGCCTGGAGTTTTTCTGTTGTCTTTTGGATGCCTGCTTATTTACAGAGTATGACCTTCTGTTTTGTCAGTGAAGTCTGAGTCCCATTAGCATCTACTCAACATGCATAAATTGAATTAAGTAGGCAGCTGGTAGAGGGTCATTTTCTCAGCCATGTGATAGAGGCTGTGATCTTATTTGTGTGTGTGTGTGTGTGTGTGTGTGTGTGTGTGTGTGTTAATATTAATCCCTTTTAAATTGGAGGGAATACTGGAAACCAATTCTTTATAAGCTATAGGGTTAACTATCAAATAGATCTGACCCTTACTCCTTGTGGTGGAATTTGAGATCCTCTTGTGTTTTAACTTAAACACTTTTGGGTAAACATGAGTGTCATCTATAGCGCCTTGGGCAAAATCTGGAGTTAAAGGAAGTTTTCTAAGAGTAAGTTGATCAGTAGTTTCAGGGAGGTGACGTGAAGTAGGGCCTTAGAAGTTATTCCTGCTTATCCCTTGCTACTTAGTTAATCTGAGGGAGACTTTTTGACTTCTCATCTTCACCACCCATATACTTTGCATCAACTCTAAAAAGGTATTTATTGTGAAAATCTGTGAAGTCAAGCACCCGAAAACCACAATCTCATCCGTGTAGTGGCTCTCTGTGCCCTTCACACTGTGGAGTTGTGAAGGTCTCTGTGGGGAAGCCATGGGAGGGCCATTGGGGGCCATCACATCCATTGCCAGCCACGGAGCCTAGGGAGGGTCACCTGAGTGAAGGTGAAGGGAAGCAACATGCATTGAAGTTATTTGTGATTTATCTTCTTGCAGGGAGCTCCAAGTTTTAATTTTGGCCCCGATTTGGCCTGGCAGGTATGTTCCTGGTTTGCATGGTTAGAACACTGTGTGTGTTTCTCCGAAAAATCAGTTTTCCTGTGGATGTTGCAGTGCTTTTCTCTTTCTTGCTTTTGTGTCCAATTTTTTTTTTTTTCTTAACTCAGATCCTCTTTTCTGCTGTTATGGAGAATTGTCAATAAAAAGGGCAGCTGAAAGGCCTTTTATCCTCTTTTTATTCTTTTGTTAATGCTAAGTCTTTTGAACGAATGTGTTTTTAATCTACTTTTATTATAATTCTGACATGGCATAAACATGATGTCCAAAAGTTTCATTTTCTTGGGTTCATCCCTAAGAATGAAAGCTGTATCCAGTGTTATTCTTCCTTCCTTTTTTTTTTCCTTTTTAAAGGGAAATGCATTATGGTAATGGCAGTATTTGTCAGATAATCTCCAAAAAAATTTTTTTTTTTTGTTATTCAGAACTTTTACTAGTAAATGAATGAAAATCTAATTCAAAATGGCTTAAGCCAAAAGGAAATTTATTGGCCCATATAATGGGGGGAAAAAAACCCACAACACAAAGCAACAGAAGTATTGCTTCAAGCACAGCTTGATCCAGGGGCTCAGGAGATATTGACAGATCTCATTTCCTCTCATTCCATCTCTTGTTTTGGCTTCCTTTATGTGAGCTCTATTTTCAGACAACCTCTCACCTCTCTGAACAAGGTGGCTGCAGCAACTCCAACAGTCATAGAGGGAAGGAACAGGGAGAAAGATTTTTTTTTAATGCAAAAAAACACAGTCAATCCCAGAATAATAATTGCTGAGTTAGGGCATAAAAGCATAGAACCTCACCACACTTAACAACTCAGGCTGAAAATAAAATGCATGGAGTTTCCTAATTCTCCTCTACTTGTGAATTAAATGGCACTTATTCATCAAGTAAAACAAGTCTGATTCTAGCACTAACAACAACAGAATTTATCAAATGTATCAAATGGGACATATATTAGTGATGTCATGGTTTTAGTGAAAGTTGCACAAAATATACTTGATCTGGTGAACTTGTTCCTTTTTTAAATAATATATTTTATTGATTTTTTACAGAGAGGAAGAGAAAGGGACAGAGAGTTAGAAACATCAATGAGAGAGAATCATTGATCAACTGCCTCTTGCACCCCGCACTGGGGATGTGCCTGCAACCCAGGTACATGCCCTTGACCGGAATCGAACCCGGGACCTTTCAGTCCACAGACCGACATTCTATCCACTGAGCCAAACTGGTGAACTTGTTCTTAAAGTGGATTAAGAGGCTGGGGACACTATCCAGTTTGGCTGGGTGGATAGAGAGTTGGCCTGCATACTGAAGGGTCCCACGTTCGATTCCTGTTAAGGGCACATGCCTGGGTTTTGGGCTTGATCCCCATTGGGAGGTGTGCAGGAGGCAGCCAATCAACCATTCTCTCTCATCACTGATGTTTCTATCTATCTCTCCCTCTTCCCTCCTCTCTGAAAAAAAAAATTATATATATATATATATATATATATATATATATATATAATTTTTTTTTTTAAAGAGGCTTGGGGCATAATGTCTCCATGTGACAATGATTCTATGGCAGTTGAAGTGAGGATTGTGGGTGTTTAGCTTTCCAGTCACATAGTCACATGACCAGCCAGGGCACATGTTGTATGTTATGTGTGGTTCTTCTTTAGTAAAATTGTCCCCACCATGGTGGGGCTGCATTGTAAGCAATTAAAGATTGAGCTTGACTAAATTGTCCACTTCTGGTTTTGCTGTTGATGAAAAAGTGTGACTTGCATTCAGATGCTAAACTCTGAACTCTAGTGGTGAGGTTGATTTTTATTATTAAAACTAAAAATCATCCTTGTCTTGGCGCTCAGGCATGGAGACTACTCTTCTCCATGTGGCTGAGATGACCTGCAGTTGGGTTAAGTTCCCCTAAAAGAGATCTCAGTGCTTCATCAAATCCAGCCATTTCAGTTCTAGGCCACTGGATGCACCCCAATTTCCAGGGTGAACTTAATTCCAGTCTTAGGCTCTGATCAGGAAAAGTATGTGATGGCTGAAGTGTTTTTATTTTTTTGTTTGTTTAGGTGTCTATTTCATCTGTCTTTTGAACTGTTGTTTGAATCTAAACACTGAACTAAGAATAATTTCTTATT